CAGCCAGCACCATTACTGTCAGCAGCCATGGAGGAAAGAGCCTGGTGCTCCAAGGTTGGATCGTCCCTGCGCATGCAGCAACAGACCTACTGGCCCAGACTCCAGGTCAGCAGAGGAAGGGAAGTGAGATGGCCCTGTGGGGAACAGGGCCCATGGCAGTGATAACCACGCACATGCTGCTTCCCCCATATGGACAAGACAAGATGTGACTGGGAGCACCATCTCTGTGGACACAGTCAACAGCTCCTCGGAACCGAAGAGCTCCCTGTCATGGCATTATTCATTATTCGTAATGGCAACAGCTCACCAAATAACACAAGGGCCTAACTGCTTGGGAGAATGCTCTGAAAAACCCAGACAGACAGTGCAAATAGTATGAGACATGCAAACCATTCCACTGCCTATCACGATGATTTCTGCTGCAGCAGAGCCACTCCATGCACACAGCTAATGCAAGTGCACAGCACCAGAGCCCCAGGACAAAGAGGGGAACATGATCTAATCACAGACAAGGCTGCAGCCTCGCTGTGAGGATTCCATCAAGGAGAAAGCAAGAAGTAAAGCAATGTGTGTGTATACAAACAATTCAACCCTTCCAATCAGTGAACTTAAACTCCTCAATTTCAGCTCTCCACCATCAAGTGTTCTCTTTGCGTCACGGAGATCACACTTGTCTTAAAACTGCAAGTTTGTTTTCAAAACACTGATACAAATCCCCAGTTTTTCTGCTAAAGGCAGGATGTGGAGTTAGCCTTGAAAGCATGAAGGGACAGAACCAAACCTCCTCACTGTGCTGAGCCCTCAGGCAGCTGGGGATGGTAGACCAGGAACTCTTGGGATGTTCCACTCAGCTCAGAGGGTCTCTGGGGTGCAGAAGTGCTGAGCTCTCCTGTGCTGGTGATTTGCACCAGCAGAAGGACCCAGCTAAAGCCCCACCGTGACGGTGCTTGAAGTCCCCACTCCCTTCACACAGCCACCCGCAGCGTTTCTATCCCAACACCCCCAGACCAGTCACCAGCAGCATCTGAGCATCCTGAGGTGTCAGCATCTGCACAGGTGACCCCATCCCACCACTGACAGTGCTGGCACAGGGCAGCGTGGCCACCGAGCAGTGCCTCAGGATCACCTCCCCTTCTTCTCCAGTCACACAAAGCCACTGGGACCACACTGACACCAGGGCTCCTCCACAGACCCCTGCCCAGTCCCCTGGTACTCAGTCTCCACGACACCAAACCAAGACCTCCAGCACCACAAGGGGACAACCTGTCCAGGTGTCAGACACTGCAAGCAGTTTGTAGTTCCCATGATCCACACCATCCTTTCATGCTTGTGCACCCTTGATCCACACCCAGGCAGGGAACTCGGTCACGTCCCAGATGCTGCATCTGTCTATGCTGGTAACAAGCATTTGTGGATGCAACCTCAATTCCCTGGGCTCAGAGGCTTCCCTGTCATTCTACCATCCTTGCTGTGCTCTCAGAAAGGCTCCCAGTGCTTTTCCAAATGCAGGATGGCTTGGGGCAGAGCTCACGGCATGGGATATGCCCACTGAGGCATGAGCACCATGCTGGACAGAGCAAACTCCTGAAGTCCAGCCTGGTCACTGGGGCCATGCAGGGGGTCACCCTGTGCTTGGGCACATGAGGGAGCAGGGGAACACTCAGACACTGGCTAAAAATCAGCAGCAGCTCCTGCAGGGAAGGACAGCACATCCTGCAGGTTAGAAGGAAGGAGCAGGTGAAAGAGAATGATTTCCAAGGGAACAGCAGAGCCCTGCTCCTTGCCACAGCAAGGCTGAGCTCTGGCATATATAAGGGATGAAGTCGAAGTTCATCACCAAAGGTAATATTTACTGCCAGGAATCAGTGTCCCGTGCTTAAGAAAGAGAGATGAAGATATGCAAGTGGCACACACACCACAGGGAGGTGTGATCACACTGCTAACAAAGGGAAAGGTTTAAAGTCTCTTCCTACTCCCCTTTGGCACTGTTTGAGGGCAGTCAGGTACATTCTGCATTAGGGGGAAAAAGGCAAGTGAAGAAATTTATCAACAAAAGTTAAAGTACAAGGGGGGATTGGGTGCCATGAAGGAAAGCTGTACCATGGAACTTGTCCTTCAGACAGCCCACCATCAGGATGGACAAAATCACAAATTGCAACCAATTCTGGCAAACAATTCTGGCAGCATAACAATAACTAACCAAGTCTCAGTTCAGTTCACACCAGTATGTGTGTGGGAAGACCTACGTTTGCGATTGCCACGTGAACTTTGGCTGCTGAGCTACAGCCCCTGCAGACAGCAGCCAAACCTGCAACTTTCCCTACAGGTTACCAGGCAGTGTGGAGCTGCCATCCTGACAAGCTGCCCTGCCCCAGCAGCACGAAGCCAGCATCCCCACCATGCCACCCTGTCCCACAGTGTTTGCAGCAACTCCAGCTTCTGACACTGTCCTGACTGAGATCCTGGACCAGAGACCCACAGAGCTTAGGGATGACCAATCTCAAGGCAGCAAAGACATAACGTGGCATGGGGCAAGCACAGAGAAATGGCAGTGTCCTGGTGCCAACTCCATTTTATAGGTGGAGAAAGTGCTTCCCTTCCCTCCTGCTCTGCCAGGCTAGGAGATGCTCTTGGGACTGAACCACAAAGCAAGGAACCCCAAGGGTCTGCCATTCCCCTATTTCACTACATAAGAAAAAGCCTTACAGTACTAAAAGCTCAGAGTTTATAATGCATCAAAAGAAGTCCTATCTGCAAAATATAAACAAGTGATAGAAGTCACTGTGAGGAGATGCTGGTATAAACACTTCAATAGTTGCTTCTTTGCTTAAAGAACATTGACATCTCTGTGCGCAGGAAAAATCTCCAATTACTGTACCTGGGGCACAGCTGCAAGCCGTCAGCCTCCCTGGTGCACTCAATCAGGGAATCTCAGAGAAGGTCAGGAAGAAACAGCTGCTGGCTTGGACGGCGATCTTCCCCTGTTCTTTGTTTTGTGTTTGTGTGGCACCACGCTGGTCCGTGACAACAGCCCAGCACTGGCACAGCACCAGGGAAGCTGTGGGTGCCGCTGAAGTGGGAACCCCCAGCACTGCCCTGCCCCTGCAAGGCTGAACACTCTTGGAAGGAGGGGGTAGAAGTGCATGTTTGGGTTGGGCAGCTGTAAAGATGGCTGTAGATCAGGCAGCCAGGGCATATCCTCAGGGCCACAATGGCAATGGAGCAGAAGTGTCATTTCTTTATCCCATGCCCAGAGCACCCCACCAGCCTCCTCTGTCCAGACCCACTCACACAGCTCTGACACAACGTGCTCTTCTCCCACCTCTTTCCCAGTGCACCACAGCTCCAGAGCTAGGAATGAGCTGCACAAACCAGAGGGCTGATGCACAAGTAGAAAACACTAAACTACATTTTGCAAGTGAAAACCTGTGTGCCTCTTACTCCACGAGGGAAGTTACACACACTCACTAGCCCTTTTCTTATAGCAAGACTTTAAAGATGAAAAAGCAGCTGCTCACCATATTCAGTGCTTGATTGTCGTGGTTTTTTTCTCCCTGTTCTGAATAAAACCAAACCTTTTTATCCTTTCTATCTTCTTCTACCAAGTTTCTAAACTTATATTTCAAGATAAGCCTTTCCTGCAAGAAAATTCAGTACAATAAAATACTGTGTCTGAAACTATATTTATAAACACATATTTAGAAACTATATTTATAAACATATATTTACATATACAAACTATATTTATAAACACATATTTAAAACTATATTTATAAACAAGCACAGCCAGCCCTTTATTCCTTCCCCCCATTGGTGCAGCACACTGAAAACACTCTCATGGACAACTACACTTTCTCAGCGCTGATGTCCACTTTCTCAGAATCCCTACAGAAAATCACACAGAACCAAGTGGATGCCATACCAAGCATTATGATGACTTTGCTTCCACAATTGCCACAGAAAACTGCTTGGAGCTCCTCACATTTAAATGCCCCTGACATGAGGACCGTGTACTCTATTGCAATAAAGCGTGACCAGATAATCCAGGCAGTAACTAACTTGCCGTCTCTCATTATTTTTTCCTTCATTTTCAGAGCAGCGAGGCAGCTGCTGTACCAAACACAACAAAAAGTTCAGCAGCTCAGCCACAGACTACTTCTAGTCAAGAACCAGTATGGGTTGCTTGGAACGGTGAACTACAGAGCTACTGGGAATTTGCAAGTTCCACTGATGTGCTGCATTCTTCTCAGAGATTTTTAGGAACACTGAGCCATCGCAATCCATTGATTTGCTAAACCTGCCGAGGCACTTCAAGGCTTCCTTACCGCAATCCAGTGTTTTCTAACAACCAGGACTTCCAGCATAAAATTCCCTTAAAACGTTACCCAACATCAGACAACAATATTTAGACTTCTTCCCGAACAGAATTAGATATTGTCAATGGAAAAAACTTCCCGACGTAGAACTTGTTGAATAAAGAGTAAATCTGATTTGCCAAGCGAAGCCTGCACTCGCATGAAAACAGCATCCTTCTTCCCTCCATCCCAGCAGCACCTGGAGCAACTTGCAATCTTGTTTATTTCAGTAATTATTAATTACCGACCTATTTAGACATGTTTTACACCAAGCGCAGCTGAACCGCTACAGTCTGCTCAAGCATTCTGAGTAACCGAGCGGGATGTTTTTACACGTTTTCTGCCTTCCCACCAGAACAATGCATTTTCAGTCACCACCGCTGCCAGGTGCGGCCCCCCCGCCTGCCCCAGAACCGGGCTGGGCTCCGGGGCTCCGCACCCGCCGGGTCCCGGCGCTCACGCGGGGGTCCCGGGACTTGCGCTTCGCCCCGGGTCCCAACGCCCAGCCACGTCCAGGGGCCGTTCGGGTCGGAAACGAGGACACCCCCCCGGCCCTCGGAGACCCCCGGGACCCCCCAGGAGGCTCCCCCCGCCCCGCACGGACGCACATTCCTCCCCCCAGCCGCGGGTCGCGCCCGCCCTCACCTGTACCACTCCAGCCCCTTCTCGTAGTTCCTGTCGAAGAAGTGGGGCTCGGTGCCCACGGCCCGCACGTCGGGGTGTGCCCGGATGGCCTCCAGCAGCGCCCGCGTCCCCCCCTTCTTCACCCCGATGATGAGGGCTTGCGGCAGCCGCTTCTCCCCGTAGTCCGGCGTGGTGCTGCTGCTGCCGCCGCGGCTGCCCGGGCTGCCGGCCCGGCTCAGCTCCTCGTCCGTGGTGCTCGACTCCTGCGGGTCCCTCTCGAAGGCTCCGCTCTGCGCCGTGATCACCTCCCCGGGGGCCAGCGGCGATCGCAGCCAGGCGCCCGCCGCCCCTTCCCCGCTGCCGTTGGAGGCCCGCGGCGGAGCGGCGGAGGGGGCCGGGTCGCCGGGGCTGCCCGGCAGGTTTGCGGGGGAGCGCGGGGCCGCCGTGCCGGGAAGGGCGGTGGGAGAACGCGGGGCCCCGGGGGCCGCCGTGCCGGGAAGGGCGGCGGGGGAACGCGGGGCTGCCGTACCGGGAAGAGCAGCGGGAGAACGCGGGGCCGCCGTGCCGGGAAGGGCGGCGGGGGAGCGCAGGGCGGCCGGACCGGTGCCCCCCATCAGGCTGTAGCACAGGTAGGTGAGGCAGAGGGAGAGGCTGCACATGCAGAGAAGCTTCCGCGCCGGCGGCCCCTTAGAGCCGCGCCCGCCCGGCACCCCCGGCTGGGCGGGGGGGGACATAGCTGCTCCCCGCTCCTCGCCCCGGGCACCGGGCGCACATGGTGTCAGCCGCCGCCCGGCCGCCCCAGCCGCATGGGGCGCCGCTGCCCGCCCGCCCCGCCGCCGCCGGTGGGGGGGGGGCCCGCATGGCACGGTCGCCGCCGGCCCCCGCCGGGCACCGGGGCACCTGGGCTGGCGCTCCCGCGCTCCGATGCTGCCGGCTCCGCACTGTTGCCGCCCGAGTTCCTGCCGCGAAACTTTGAGCCGGGTGGGAGGCGGGAGCGCGTTCCCGGCGCGGGGAGGGCCCGGCCCGCCCCCGCCCCGCCGCCGAGAGCGCGGGGAGCGCGCCGGCCCGGAGCGGGCCCCGCCCGGGGCAGCGGCCGGTCAGCACCGCGGCCAGTGCCGGGGCAGCCCGGAGCACCCCGGGCCGGGCTGGCAGCGCTGCCTCAGGCCCGCTGGCCCACCCGGTTTGCTGAGAACAGCCCCCAGCAGCCCCACACCCCGCCCGCCCCATCTGCTCCCCAGACCCACCCGCCGTGCCGCATCCACCCGTGTCAGCACTCACGGCACAGGGAGGGCGCGGACACCAGCAGCTGGGGCAGTGCCACACCTCCTTGGCACCTTGTCCTGGCCTGGTCCCCTCTGCCTCCCCCAAAGTCCATTCAGTTCCCAGCCCATGGCTCCTGCCCAGAGCCTCCAGCTCCCCAGAGAGGAACATCCCGACAAGTCCTCTGGGGCAACCCCATGCAGTAGGGCCCAGGTCTTTTGGCTCTGGCCTTATGGGGATCTTGGGCAGAGGGGACAGTTTCTTAGGGCAGCTGGCTGTCTCCTGGGAGCCTGAGGAGAAGTGGCAGACCATAGGCAGGGGCAGGCAGGAACTTCATTTGGAGCATGGAGGGTTCATAGTTTAGGTGCCAAGACCTGCATTAGTAGATGAGGCCAATGACACCCTCGCACACTGCTCTTCCAGGAATGCTGTCCCCAGCCTCGGTGGAGCAGGCTGGGGCTGACAGGCTCACTCCTCACAGTTTTTCTGGAACAGCCACCATTGTTCCCAGCTCCATGTTTTGTCACTTTCCACCTCCAATTCTCAGCTTTGGCTTTAGAAAGGATTTTGTGAGGGAAAGAAACGTGTTAGCGTCTCTCAGCTTTCTCCTATCCCTCATATGGGTAAGGACATCTTCCGCTATCCCCGCGTGCTCCAAGCCCTGTCTAACCAGGCCTTGAACACTTCCAGGGATGGGGCAGCTACAGCTTCTCTGGCAATGTGTGCCCCACCACCCTCACAGGGAAGAATTTCTTCCCAATATCTAATCTAACCCTGTCCTCTGTCAGTGTGAAGCCATTCTCCTTTGTCCTGTCACTTCTTTCTTTGACCTCCTTTTTTCAGCTGATACCCCTGTATAAGCGCTTCTTTTTATTCTCAGTGTCCCTTGCCAAGCTCAGCTCCAGCTGTGCCTGGGCCTTCCTGCCTCTATCTCTACACAACTGAACGGTGTCCCTCTACTTTTCCCAGGATACCTGTCCCTGCTTCCACTGCCTGTCCATTTCCTTCCTGCCCTTCAGTTTGACCAGCAGGTCCCACCTCAGATCTGCCAGGTCTGCTTTGCTCCTTGTCCCCTGGGGACAGTTTCCCAGGGGTCACATCAACTAACTCCTTGAAGAGCTGGCAGTTTGCTTGCCTAAAATTCAAGGCCCTGACTTTACTCTTCACCTGACCCAAATCCTCAGGACTGCCAGCTCCACCAGAGCAACATGCCTTTGGAGTGTCAACTACACTTGGTCTCATGGCAAAAGCAACATTTGGAAACAAAAATGAAGTGCCAATATTAAGTAGCTACCCAGAGCCGAGAAATGTATTCATGGAAAAAGAGGAAGAGCACCAACGTTTCCCATAATGAACAGAAGCTCAATGCTGCTCTCAGCTGGACATGTGTTCTCTCTGTGCAGCTTCAGTTCTGATGGAGATTATTCCTTCATAATATATTTTTTATGGCACACATGAGACCTCTGAAATGCAGTGTCTTGTGTCCTGTAAGTCATTTTCTATAACTTGTGGTTTCCTTTTCAGCTGCATTACTGTAATGTGAATGTTTGGGGACTAACTCGAACTGACAGATGCAAAGCCTCACGTCCCCACTTGGAGTGTCCCACTCGCAGTGTCCCACCCTGGTGCTGGAGGAGCCGCACAGCCTGTGCCTGGGTGGCAGTGCTTGGCCTGGGGGATCCCCTCAGGCACTGCAGAGCCCATCAGGAGGGACACACAGCCCCTGCCCTGGGCAGCCTGAGCCCACAGGAAGGCTATTGCAAATACAGAAATCCGACCTGAACCTTAAATGAGAACCCCAGTAGGTGCAGAGTGGGTCACACTGCAGGATGGGGGACAGACTACGCTCTCAGGAAGCCCTGGGCAGAGCGGGTTTGTTTGGCTGCTCTGCTTAACTCATACACGTGGCCTCTCACATAACTTTTCTAGTATGTACAGATCTACCTTGAGAGAGAGGAATCCTTCTCGTACATGGAGATACATTTATTCCAAATTGGAGAACCCACAGAGAACCTGCTGGCAGCCACAAGCCACCTCTTGAGCTTCTCAATATCAGACCAAAAAACCCCAACCCAAACTGAAACAGTTTTCAGTTCCAAAAATATAAGACAAACCTCAAACCAGGCCCCATTTAATGAAGTCACAGTGTTTTGGTCTTTCAGACACTGAGCACACACCCAAACTGCAGTGCTTAGCAGAATGCCCTGGCTTGACATCCCTGTGGCTCTTCTCCTGTGATGTGCTGCACAGGAGACTAATGGGATTTGCAGCAAACCACACAGAACAGAGAGACAATTTCTTCTTGGGCACCAGCTTCCAGCCCAGAGGAAATTTTATAACCAGAATGTAAAGCCATCTAAAACAAATGGTTCAGCCTTAAATGCCTGCTGCTAGGCTCCGGCTCCTGATTCATCAAGGAGCGTGTATTTCTGCTGCACAGATGTCAAACGCATCCATGAGCAGATCCGAGTGTTATCCAAGCGGCTGGTGCTGTTCCGCCAGCGGATGCAATAGGAGCTGATGGAGTGTAACACTTTATTTGACAGTTCTGCTCTTAAAGGCTTCTGTATTTACCCTGCATACCTGCCCCCCCAGGCACATCAATTAGCAGTGGAAGTGCTTCCCAAGCAAGCAGCAAGTGGGCAGTCTAGCAAGGCTGACTGGCAATTGCCAGGGCAGGCAGGTTGTTTGACTGGATCACCTACTTCATGCCCCACATTTTGGCAGAGATCAAGAGCTGTTGATTTTGAGAACGTGGGATGAACTCTGTCATGGGTGGCCATGGAGCAGCCTCCCCTTGTGTGCAGTTTCTTCGAAGTTCCCATCATTTGGAGGGACCTGTGGCTGTTCCAGGCTGGAGGACATGCCTGTGATGGTCTTGTCTCCACAGGGACAGCCGTGCTGAGATTTCTCCCAGAATCTTGGTTATGGGGACATGTGACAGTAAGTCATGGGAGGCAGCTGGCAGGGTCTGACTGCACATCCTGAAGACTGGTCTCCAGTTAGAGCCTTGTTTCACGTGTAATAGACTGGGAAGCCCTTTTGGAGGTGTTGCTGCACCTCCAGGCAGCACAAGGCTCTTGCCCTGGCTGGTGCTGTGCAAGGGCTGGTGACCCCACTAAAGAGAGGAAGCAGAACTCCAAGGCCAAGATGATTGAGGGTCGGCTCATTCACTGCTTAGACATGGACTCATCCACTCCAGCATTCTCAGCACCTTTGCTCCAGGAACAGAAACTGGGAGAGGACCAGGGGCAGAGTCAGACTCTGAGGCCACCTGAGGAGCCTGTCTGAGGGGACCTGGATATATTTGGCCAAGTGACAGATGGGCTGTGGTGTGTGTCCCTGCTCTCTAAATGCACAGACAGATGAGCACCAAAGGAGGAGGAACATGGCCTTGGATAACAGGCAGTGCTGGCACAAAAACTAAGAGGTATGAGTTGGCACAAACACATTTTGGCTGGAAATCAGATGGTTTCTAACAATGGGAGGAATGTTGTTCTGGAACAGATTCCTGAAAGGAGTGTTGGGGGCAAGGCATGCAATTTGTTTTAAGATTGAATTTGAAATGAACTTTATAACATGGTTGCCAGCAATTGCAGGGAAATGGGTTTTGATGTCGCAAGATGTCCCTTCCAGTTCCAAGCTCCTGTTGTCATTCATGAGCACCGATCAGAGCAGGAGCCCTCTAACAGGAAAGGGCTCTCTAATCTATTCAAGACTTAACAGGACCCATCAAGGGGAAGCTGGAGTTAGACTCATTTGAGTGCAGTGAAAAGGGTGTACTTCAACAAGGACAGGAATGTCCTTTTGTAATAATTTGTAAAGGAATATGGTGGAACATCTCTCTTGGAAGGCTTTACACTGGGACTGGAAGTCTTTATAAAGAACAGGTCTCACTGGGCCCAGCTGTGAGCTGGGATATGGTCCCTGCAGGAGAGTCTCTGGCCTGAGAATCTCTACATGTCAATATTCCCATTATTGTTTCTGCTAAGGAGTAAATTCCAGAGATTATCACCTCGATTTCCTGACTTTTACAAACACTAGGAATATATTTTTCAGGCAACTTCAGAGGTTAACCTCCCATAATTCCTCTTCATTATTTACTTGCCAACAGAAGCAATGAAACACCTTGGAAAGAGGTAGATTAATGCACACAGTGCTCTACCTCCTTCAGGGAATGAATGAAATTTGTGAATATAAATATAAATATTTATTTATATATTTATATATATATATTTAAATATATATAAATATATAATTTTTATATTTATAAATGTAAATATAAATATACTGAATAGCAAATAAACAGTAAAACTGCAATGACATTTAATCTCCAGTCCAAGAAGGCACTCAAGATGTTTTGCAGTGGCACTCCACACTGCCAAGGCATTTTCCCATTCATGGAAACAACTTCGGGTTTGGAATCGTTGGTTATTCTGATGGCTGTTAGCAGGAGCTCCTGTGATCTAAACTGCACAGCCTGGGAATGCACATTCATCTTGGTGGCCTAAAATTAACCAAAGGTAGAAGAAGACATTTCTGGGCAACCTGCTCGGGCACCAAACCTGCTGTTTCACTCGTGCTGTTCACAGTTGTTATAAAAAAGAGAACAGCTCTTAGAC